ATGTTCGTTGTGAATATATGTGTATTTCCTACACTGCTAGGGAAATGCCTGTTACCAGCGTGGTGTGCTCTTCTGTTGTCTAATGCAAATGTAATGTGACTCTTGTAGATGGTGAGTGAGAGGAGTAAGAAGACATTTGCCAGTTGCAAGACCGAGTCTAAGGACGAGAAACTGAAGCCTATGCTGGAATGGGCCTTTGGAGGGTTTAAACCAAAAGGACCTGATGGATTCAAGCCTCCAGTAACTGATAGTAAGAATGCAACCTTCTGGAAAAACCTTAATTGTGGGGAGCTAAGCTGTGGGCCGAGTCCCATGACATGAGATGGTGGTTTTATTTAAATTATTTTGTGTTTTTTTTTTTTACAAATTTCACTTTCACGTGTCTTACGTTATGGATGTCCTTTCAAAGTTTTGCATTCTTGAGACCACAAGAAAAGTTAGGAACGAGAGAAGGTCATTTCAGCTGCTCGTGCTGTTGATCAGGGGATCGGGCAGCTGTTTCTCGGCCCTTCATCAAAACTCTCGCACACCTTTGCATAGAGACATGTCCCCTGTTCCCAGTTTTACGTAACATTGCCACATTTCCGTTCATTTTTTGTCTGCTTTGCATTAACAATATTCAGTCTCAGCATAACATTTGAATAATTTCATAGTATTTAACAAGCTTTGAGAGCTATAAATGTTTGATATAACAGATATACAGTTGAAGAGCCTGAGAAGACATTTCTAGATATGTTTCGCTTATTTATTTTTATAAACTTCTTCTTTCTTTGCTCAGATCTTGCAGCGAAAGCGGCACTCTTGGACACGCCAGTTCCAGAGTACCAGCCTCCAACCAAAAAACAGAAATATGTTTATAAGAATAAAGGTGGAAACGAGCAGGAGTACTCTAGAGGTAAAGCCAGTCTGCAAGCTCAGCTGTCCTTTTCAGTACATTCAATTTATGAATATACATTCAAGTGTAGCAAAACTGATTTTAATTTTAATTCTTTACAGTGCAAATGGTCCGTGAAGTCCTGCAGAAAGGGAAAAACATTGAGGGTAAGCGTGTTTCAAAATGTCTGATTTAAATGCAAGAATATGGAGCTCTCTTGTCATTCAAATAAATAGTCGGGGTCTTTGAGGTGAAACTTCTCCTTTGTGATGAAAGGATGACAAAAACTTACTGCGTGCTGGATGTATCTTTTGGCAGACAGCACGGTCTATATAAAGTCTACCATTGTTGAGTAGAACACGTTTAAAGTATCCACTGTTTCCGATTTTGTTTTCCATAGATTTCTGCCTGTCCTGTGGGACACCACAAACTGAGATATTTCACCCCCTGTTTGAAGGAAGCCTATGCCTGAAGTGCAAGGTAGCTATCGTATTCGAGTTCTTTTTAAAATACATTTTAGGCTCTTTTAACAAGAGCTGATCCCGTAATCTTTCTTTTGTAGGATAACTTCACTGAGACCTTGTACAGGTACGACGAGGATGGCTACCAGTCCTATTGCACAGTGTGCTGTGCCGGTCTGGAAGTTATTCTCTGTGGGAACGCTAGCTGCTGCCGGTGAGTAAGAGAGGGGCAATATAATTCCCAGCAGAAAACTCCCAGGATTTTTAGTGGTGAACTAGGCTAACCTAGGTTTTGCTTTTTTTTCTCCTGATCCTAAACTCCAGTAAGGTAGATGAAAGGTACGGATGACTTTTAGATGGGATTTGTAATAGCGGTATTATTTCTGGGATTAGAAAACTTGTTTTTATTGCAGTGTATTGGGTCTCGTTATCATTTAAAAACACGTTCCTTGTGTTGAATATCATATAAAAACCGGGCCTCATTGTTGCGCAGGGTGCTGTGCTGGTTTGTAAGTTATTCTCTGAGGCTGCCGCTGCGTAAGAGAGGGGAATTAGCAGAACACTCACTGGATCTTTAGTGGGGGGCCTAGGGTTGTCATTGTCAGATGGAATTTGCTCTCTTTATTTTCTGATGACTGATGCTGTTGCCCTGGCCCAGGTGCTTCTGCCTTGACTGCCTGGATATCTTGGTGGGCCCTGGGACCTTCGACAAGCTGAAGGAGGTGGATCCTTGGAGCTGCTACATGTGCCTGCCGTCTCAGCGCTACGGCGTCCTGAAAAGGAGGGAGGACTGGAGTATCCGGGTGCAGGAGTTCTTTGTCAACAACAGCGCTATGGAATTTGTAAGAGACAGACCTGCATCTGATAGAGTGACGTACTCCGTGCCCACGATGCCTTGGCTTCAATAAGTACTTTTTTACTGCATGTTCAAATATTGGTTACGGTTCACTGCATGCATGCTGTGTATCTGGGCATGATGGGTGTTTTTTAGATGTTACCTTCATATTACAGTAAACACTTGGTTTACCGGACTTCAGATTTAACGGACGAACTCTGCTACAGTGTAATTTTGTCTGTAAAATAGTAGAAATTAAGTCTTTCCTTGCAATAATGGGGAAATACACAAATACTAAAACAAGGTCAAAATAAATACGACAGTATTAAAATTCAAGTCAAAAGTTGTTCAGGTGGGTAACTGTGTCAGCATGCGTAGGCTGCAAAGGAACAAGAAATAGTATTTGGCCGTGGAGCCTTTTATCAGGTGTGAGAAAGACAGGGCAGTAAGCGAAGGTAATGTAGCAGGAGAACAAAAGCTGGGAGAGAGGAGGGCCGGGAGGCGGGAGCGGGGGACAGACAGAGTGGCCAGTCAGGATAGGTGAAGAGATGAGTAGAGAGAATTTAGAAGAAAATTAGTCTCTATTAGTCCGTTAAGACAAGAGATGACTGTATTAAAGCATAATCTTTTCTAAAAATCTGTGCTGCAGACCTTATTTTCAAAGCGAATCTTTTTGCCTTACAGGAGCCTCACAGAGTTTACCCTTCAATCCCTGCGAATCAGCGCCGGCCCATCAGGGTCCTGTCGCTGTTCGATGGCATTGCAACAGGTGCGGCTGTTACAGGTTTTATTTGTTAATGGTCTTCCAGATTGTGCACTTAGCTTTTATTAGCCTTTTGTGTGTGAACTGCATGAACTGCAGCACTGCAGGAGAGTTCATTTGACCTTACAGTTTTAGTTCTTTCACTTTGCTTGCAAACAGGACAAAATTTTAGTTAAAAGCATTGGTAATTAAGACCTTAAAAGGAACTTTTGCATTTTTAATGCTTGATTTCAGGCAACAGTTTTTGTTCAAATCCCACAATGATAAGCATAATAAGAGCATATGCTTTCTTTTTCTCCACAGGTTATTTAGTTTTGAAGGATCTTGGCTTTAAAGTTGAACGGTATATTGCCTCTGAAATTTGTGAAGACTCCATTGCAGTTGGAATGATAAAACATGAAGGGAGAATCGAACATGTGCACGACGTGAGAACCATCACAAAGAAACATGTGCGTGAAGCCCCTCAATTCCTGATTTCCGTCTCTTGCCTGACCTAGCAGCATAGCTCACCTCCCACCTCGGTGACACCTTGTAACTTTGATGAGTTGGTGACAGCTTTTGTGTTGTTAATGTTCACCTACAGAGTTAGTTTGGTCGAATCGGACCACTGCATCAGAAGAACTGTATCCTGCAGCAGCTCTGCAGAGATCTGACACACATGCCTGGATAATGGCAGCAATGTCAGAAATTGGTACAGTGACTCACTATGACACTAATTTATACCACTTGATTGCTGTCAAGCCTAGAGGGTCATTTTGTACACAGCTGAGCAAGTCATTGCTTCACAGTGCGCCATTTTCTTCCTACGGTTGTCTGAATAGGTCATTTGGCTTTATAAACATCTTGTGTTTTCCAGTTTAATTTGGAATTATTCGCCTTTTTTGTACGTCACGTAAATGAAGTTACATGCAGTTTTTTTCATTCTAGATTGCCGAATGGGGTCCCTTTGATCTCTTGATTGGAGGAAGTCCATGCAACGACCTTTCCATTGTGAACCCAGCTCGAAAAGGTCTTTTTGGTATGACCCTGTAATATACCTATCCACGTCTGTAGATTTAAATGAATATACAACATAATTTATGGCTGTGTGTCTACCTCCCTGTTTAATTGCATTTACTCTGCCTGTTTGGGGACAGTATAGAGCAGTGGGTAAGCTTTTGGACTCCTGAGTGGTGGATTGTGCATTGAAGTTCCTACTGTAGACACAACTGTTGCAGCTCTGGGAAAGGTACTTTACCCCAGCAGTGTAAGCACCAGCATTGCTGGGGGTAATTGCTGCGATGGCTTTGACTTCACCTTTACTTCCTTTAAATATATAGAATGTTTCAATTTCTCAATTTCAAGACCATACAAAGCAATAACAAAGGGCACTGTGACACATGTAGGAAATGCTAAAACAAGTATACAACCAACTCATCCCAATTGGCTTCAATACACTTCCAAGGATTTAATGCCTGTATTGTCATTCTATGAAGCTTCTCATTCATTTACATGCTGTAAGGTTTAGTTAGTGTCAGCAGAGGACAATATCAGGTGCATCTTTTCTTTACAGAGGGCACTGGAAGACTTTTCTTTGAATATTACCGTCTCCTCAACATACTGAAACCGAAAGAAGGAGACAACAGGCCGTTCTTCTGGCTATTTGAAAACGTGGTGGCCATGGGGGTCCGCGATAAGACGGACATTTGTCGGTTTTTGGAGGTAAGGGTTTAGACAACTTGAGAGTAACTTTAGGAAGAGAACCACTTTGCTTGGCCAATTTTCAGTTGCTACTTTAAATTCAGTCATCAAAGATTTCTAATAAAGCCCTTTGAGGAAGAAATACAATGTTGTAATGTACAGTATGTGAGGAAAGCCTATTAGCAGAAGAATATAGCATACTGGTTCTCTGATACATTATCTGTGAATTCCAGTGCAACCCAGTGCTGATAGATGCTGTCAAAGTGAGTCCTGCGCACAGAGCAAGGTATTTCTGGGGCAACCTCCCTGGAATGAACAGGTATGGCTAATTTTTTTAATATACCCTAAATGGTAAAAGTCTTTGTGCAGTTGCTGTGTGACTCTGTCTTATGTGGTGTTCAAGACAATCTCATGAGTATTTTGATAGGGTAAAACCCTTTGAGTAGAGAAAACTTCTAATTTTCTTGCGTTTCAAGTCCTGGCCTTTTTGTTTCTTACAGTAAATTGATTTGTCTGTCTTGTAGGTGTTGATGTTTAGTTTAATATACAGTTGTCTTTTATTCTCTGTTTTACTAGGTCGACAGTGTCTCAGTTCAAAACGTCTTAAGCAAACCTTTAACCACGGAACTTGAAAGTTCTGTCAGTATGATATACATGTGATTTGGCTCTCCACAGGCCTCTTGCTTCTTCCCAGAGTGATAAACTGGACCTTCAGGACTGCCTGGAACATGGAAGGCAAGCAAAGGTCAGAACTCAGTTGGGTTCATGGCTTGAGAAATAAGCAAACATCTAGGGAAGTTTGCTTATGTGTGCTTTTGTTGAGACAGCAGCTAGGATTAATCAATAGTAGTTTGAGGAGTTTCCAACTTAAGAAAGATGGCCACCCCACTTGTCTCCTGGTGAATAATATCAGAGTGCTCTAACAAAAGCAGCAGCCCTTTTGAAGAGAAAAGCATTACACTTCCTTTAGGGAATAACATCCTGGAATTCAAAGTATTTCATACTCTCTTCAGTTTTTTTATTGAAATGTCTGCTTCATTAGAAGTAGTTCATGATATGAAATTGAAAGACTTTTTAATTTAATAGTTAATCTCCTTGTCCTTATCTCATTTCTCTTCAGTTCTCTAAAGTGCGTACCATTACAACACGACCAAACTCAATTAAACAGGGCAAGTCGGAGATTCTTCCAGTGGTAATGAATGGAAAAGAAGACAATTTGTGGTGCACAGAACTGGAGAGGTAATGTTTGCCGTGGTTTTTATTTTATTACTTTGCAGTGGGTTTAAAACATTCAATCTGGCGTTATTATAGTATACCAGCATTTCATTTATATAGAACATGGTTTCAAGACTTTTTTTCATGATTAGCGCCCCTCATTTTGAAACATAGAGTAAATGAAGACTCATGATCATTAAAGACACATCTTAAAATGATCAACTGAGGGTGAGCAGACACGCTGTATGCTATGTCGGCACAGATCTACGAATGATGGCAAAACCGATCAGTGTTAAGCGGTGTAAATTTCAATGCTCTGCAAGACTTGAATGAAAAATCTTGATGATGTGATTCTGGGGACCCCTAAGAAACCCTGGAGCTAAAACTGCTGCTTTAAGCCTGTAAATGATTGCTGTATGCACACCTCTGAAGAGAACTGAAGAACCTAGTTACGCCCCATCTTGTACACGTGCTGGTGTGCGAGTGAATCGCTGACCTGGTTGTATTTGTCGGAGATCTTCAGGTAGTGTGTGCCGTTTTTGCACCATTGTGTTTCTCTTCTCTTCCTCCAGGATTTTCGGTTTTCCCAGACACTACACGGATGTGAATAACATGGGGCGTGGGTCCCGCCAGAAGGTCCTCGGGAGGTCGTGGAGTGTTCCCGTAATCCGGCATCTGTTCGCGCCCCTGAAAGACTACTTTGCCTGTGAATAGCTGGGAACAATGCGAGCAGGGACACCTCAAGGACCTTTGGAAGCTGCCCTTCCCTTCCCTGGGTTGGGTAGCTAGGCAACATCAGCAGAAACAACACTGCAAAGCACAGAGATTGAGCGAGGCGGGGGAGAGCGGTCCTATACGCGCAGTGGCCGCTTTATTAGGTACACTTGCTCGTGAACGCAAATAGCCAAACAGCGAACCAGGTGGCTACAACGCGTCGGACCTTCTTCAGCAGCAGAAGACCACGCCGGGTCCCACCGGGTCAGCTAAGAACAGGAAGCTGAGGCTACAGTGGACACATGATCACCAAAACTGGAAGATTGAAGATTGGAAAAATAAAGTGGCCACTGAGTGTATACCCCCACCTTCAGCACACATGTATAACTGCCCCGTACAGTCTAGAAAACAAATCCCCAGCTTCTCACTGATGTCACAGGCAGGCTTACGTTCCATGCTCTTTCTTTTAATTTTCTCCGGATCCCTTTGTTTGAGGTAAAACCAAGGAACCTTCTGTCCAACTGGGGTGTGATTTCCGACGTTATCCAGTTTTATTTATTTAAGCCACACCTGGAATTGCTTTTAAACGTTTTTACTTGTCGGAGTTTATCGGTCACTTACAGCACTGCCACTTTGTTAACTATTTTAAAACAGGACAATTTTATTTAACGGGAACCTAATATTCAGTTTTCTGCCTACCTCAAACCTCTGTGCGAAATCTGCTGTGTGGCGACATTCTCTGTGTACGCTACCGCCCCCTCCAGGGTGTATCCTGCTGTGCACCCGATGCGATATGATGATGGGAGAGTGTGGAACATTTTGGCGTTTCTCATTGGTGATGATGTGAAAGTCTATATTTGATTGATATCCTTGGTTTACTTGGTTTGCATCACTCTGGGGGCCAAGCATTGATTCACCATAGAACGCTCCCAGATTTAAACAATTGACCAATCTAGGTGTGTGGAAAGCAAATTTGTTTTAAAATTAATAGTATTTAATTCAATTTTGTAACCAGTTCTTATTTGGTCAAATTCGATGGTGAAGCCAAAGTATATGAAGTCTGGAAAAAATTAGGGTGTTAATAATAATTTATAGTGAACTAATAAGCTATTTTGTATTTTTGTTTTTTACCGTCAGAATCGACATTTCATTTGGTTTATTATGATGCTGATATAACATAAGACTTTTGGACAAAATTGCCAGGTGTATCTTGATTATATCCTCATACAGGAACACAAAAACTGTTATTTTTCTTTTATGTCTTCTTGTAGTGATGGTTGATTTTCTGTTGTTTATTCACAGTTGTGGATGATTGGAAATTTCATAGGACAGATAAATCTGTTGCTGGATGAATACATTATAGATTGTAATCTAAGCAAGCACAGCAGAGAAATATGCACATAAGATCATGATTCTGTATCTGAATCTCTGTAAGGCTGACCTTCACATCATGTGGAAGTGGCTTAAATAAATAATCAGGTAGCTTACTGAAAAGGGACACTGTTACAACTATAAGTGCCTGTCATTTTTAAGCAAAAGAAAATCTAATGCACAAGGAAACAATATGTAGCATTTTTGAGTACTGTGAATTACTGCTGTGTGATTCAGAATATCATGATCCAAGCAGCAATTTTAATCTAATGACTTTCCACACCTATGGAACACCTCAGGTGTATTGTTCACTTTCTCAGCCAATCTTGTCCTTTCAGCGCACGCGTAGTTTAAAAAGAAACGGTCATGGCAAAAATCAGTTTTGCCCAGTTCTGTGTACTCCTGCATGTATAAAACGAAGGTCATTTGATTTTCTGTTTTTTTTGTTGTTGTTGTTGGCTGCTACCTTTTGTTATAGCAAGACTGAAACATCATTATGTTCTTATTCATCAGTGCTGTTGTTTATAGATAGCTAGTTTATGGGGAAATTGTACATTAAGAATGTTTGCTTTTATGTGTATTTTATGCTTTGATTTAACCTTTTTTGTAATGGCCATAATTATCTGTTCAGGGTACTACTCACCCTCTTCTCATGACCTGTGCATTGTAGTGTTCTATTTTAAACTGGTTTTATTATTGTAATATTTCAAATCTTTTGTTTGCATTCTTACCTTGGATGTGGTATATCCCAACCACATAACGCATCTGAGGTGAGCTGGATGTGACGGATATTTTTGGTGCTATTTGACATTTTTCCAATCAAAACAAATCAGGTTCTGTTCTTAAAAGCAAAACTTGAACAATTATGCCTATGTGCCATATAGTGGAGGCCTTTTTAGACCTTTTGGTTACTGTTGTCTATGTACTGTTTATTGTCTACGTACAATAATACCTCACAAGAATATGTAAGGTGCTAGGATATTTTAAACTCTTATTGGTGCTATTTTTAAACCTTTAGTATAAGGAATTTTACTGCGTTATGTGTACTGTTTTTTTCCTTGTGTTTTGGTAATTGGGTTACATGTACTGTAATAGTATTCATAATGAAAGTACCACCTGTCCTCAAGTTTTTAATAGAAAGGTTGGACTTGTTTCTCTCAGCTTCATTGTTAATATATGTGTAACTATAGGAAATAAATTAAATTGATTATCCTGTTCTCAGTATGTTCATTATAAACTTACATTGAAACGTTTCTTTTTTGTACGTCTATGAGAATTAAGCATTTTCTATTTCTTATTTAAAAGGATCACATAAAATAAGAGGATTGCAGATATTTTAAGTAGTTTTCTTTTTTTTTTCAGATTGAGCAAAGATGTTTAACATTCAAAACCCATCCCATTGCTCATTTATTTCCCTTTAAAAACCCAAGAAATGATACTGAGGGGAAAAAAACGCTGCACTTCTCTCGAGTAAAACACAGATGGAGCTCTGGTATCATAAAGGATGTATTATTTTTCGTTGACTTGAAAGAGCTGGATACTGCTTACTGTAGCTGCCATTAATTCCACCAGGATGGAGTAGGAACAGAAGTTAAGGCTCTGACTGGAGGGTCACAGGGTTGAGATTGCTATTGTAACTGTGTCTCACACTGTGTGCTCATATGGCTCCAGACAAATTTCCTGCTGCACAAACTGGGACTCTTAAATCATCATGCCAAGGGGAATTCTTTCCCAGTCGACCTACGTGGTCAAATAAAGCCAAGAACAAATTGATAATGTGCCTCCACTGTGAGCCCCAAGTCCAATGTAAATATCTCTAGATACACAAGGCCGCTGCCTTACTTGACTACATGAACACTGTTTTATTTTGCTGGGTTCTCGATTCAGGTACGTGATCGAGACTTTGCAAAGTCGCCGAGAGTGCTGTATAGTACTGTCACTGTCAAGGGGGGCGACCACCTACAATCGTGCGCCCTTGGAAAGCAAACCGACCTTTTTTTTTTTTTTTGGCCGCGGTCTTGTCAGATCAAGCCTATAGGTAATCGTGAATTCCCCACGATCTCCCTTCATAATGAGAAATTAACTTTTCTCAGGTAAAGTACAGCTGCCAGGAATCAACGCCTATAATGGTTTTACGAAGTATGCGGTTTGGTCATCCAGAACTACGGGTTATTTTATTTGGGGAGATTTGTGGACGGGAAGAACATGCCTCTCTCTCTCCAGAAACTCGGGCTGCTGGCAATGATGAGTTTTTTTGGTCAAGCGAACACGGGTTTCGTGCTTTCAGCACTCTAGTTGGGTCAACCATACGGACAGCCCTGGCCAAATGAAAGGACTAAGTTTTTCTGCTTCCAAAGGGTCTCCAAACTTTCAAACACAGGTGGGCCCACAGTATGCTCCGAGCAAAACAGAAACCCTTCAGCCTAGTATTAATCGGGTGTGGAGCAGTTGTTAAGGCTCTGTACTTGTAAGTGGAAGGTTGTGAAGTAAAAAAAATCAGTATTTGAAGGACAGGACTTTATGGGCGTTTGTCATTTTTTATATCCTGCTACAGAGGATATCACTCAAGCACGATGTTGTGTACCCTTCCCTGGAGCTTGGCAGCACCGAGAGGTATTTCGTTTTTTCCCTACTTATCCTGATGTATCCTTCTATAGCACTTATATATACATAGCATTTGGCAGACGCAGTCTAGCTTTTGTTTACGGGTGGGTTAGTCGCTAAATATTTTAAAAGTATATTTCTTGCGTCTTTGTTTGTTTTGTTGTTTTTTTTTTGCACTCAGAATTGATCATTTTGTGAAAATGTTTCGGTGCGAGGGAGAAAATAGGCCGGAGAGAGACACCCCTCCTCTCCTTTCTTCAGCACTCAGAATTGATTTAGAAGTTTCCTCGTTGAATGACCGCGAAAACGTTACATATTTCGTGACTAAACGTCTGCGTCGTGTGCAGTGTCCTTCAGCACCCCTTTATCGTCGGCCTGGCGCTGCTCTTCACCGACCTGCGCCGCTCCAGAAGAGGGAGTTCAGTTTTTTGACTCCCGCCGGCAGGGGGCGCCCTTTCTCCGGCGGGGGAAGGGTTAAGCGCGGCGCCTCGCCCAGGCCGGCTGGGAAGAGGCTCGAGCTCCTGCACGCCGGCGTTCGACCGTTACGTCGTGACGTCTTCCGCAGATTGAACAAACCGAGGGGCACCGAGCGAAAGGAACCGCCGGTAGACGAGCTGGGGGGAAAATAAAAAAAAGAGGGAGGGAGAGAGAGAGAGACAGACAGACAGTTTGATTCCCCGAATAAATTATTGTATTGCTTCAGTCTGACCAGTGACCGCCAAATTAGTCGAGTCTTACGAGGTAAGTTGCGAGCTTTCCGGCGAAGTTGTGCTTTTTTTTTTCCGAAGGAGAATGAGAATAGGCGACTGGAGGGGATTGAATGGCGGAGATGGTAGGAAGCGTAGGATCTGCGGTGGGAGAGAGGGGGGATTTCGCAAAATAAGAAACGGCGATTCAGTTTTAAGGGGTTCTGAGCTGTCGGGCTTAGAAGGGGCGTAGTTCCCGCCTGGGTTCCCGGGGTCATTTTGTGGAAATGTTTCGGTGCGAGGGAGAAAATAGGCCGGCGAGAGACACCCCTCCTCTCCTTTCTTCAGCCGAAATCCTGCGCAGTGACTCAGGCCAGAACAGGGGAAATGAGCTCTGGCTCCGCAGCTGAGGGAGTGGGATCGCTGTAAATGACAAAGACAAAGGGGGAGATGGCCATTTGTACCGGTGTCACTGTCCTTAATCGGCAGTTTATTTTTTTTCCAGCTATTCTCTGAATCCTCCGATCAGCCCCATTCGCGCAAAAGGCCTTACGGGATGGTAATAAACCACCGTCCAGTGTCAGAGCCGCCGTTATTGAAAGTTCGTGATCGAGGGGATTGGCCCATACGCTGGCTGCGACGATGAAACGTCCCTTTTTTTTCCCCCAAATTAAAAAAGAAAGGAACTCGCTTTGAAAACGCGGCTCTGTACGCGGGATGGGCGGTGAGGAAGAGTCGTATCTGGGTTTTCTTCCCCCCCGGAGAGTGACGTTTTCTGAAACGCAGACTAGGTTGAAGATGGCGATCTGAAAGTGCAGAACAGAAACCCTATCGAGAGCCGCAGCTCTCTCCTGCTGCGCCACATAGACGAGTGTGGTATTAAAACCGTCTCTCTGGCGCCCGTATTGTGCTGTGCAATGTGGCTTTGCCTATTCATCGCCCCTTGCTGAAGGTGGACTGGCACAATCCTGTCATCTGTTACACCTGAGGAAAAGCCGGCTAACCTTCTCAGCACAGTACTTAACGGATTACGATCCAAACACCTACATCAACCCGAAAGCATGCATTGAACACTCTTATGGGTCGTCATTTGTTTAATTATTCCTTGTGATTGAAGACTGGTCTTGCTAAAAAAAAATTAAAAAATGAAATCCGTTTGCAAGATTGATTTAGCAGATCCAGCACTGCAGTTAGCAGGCAGTCCGGGCTCCTCCTCAGTGCTTGTTGTCCGAAGCTCAGCCCCATGTTGCCTATTGGCAGTCGAGATCGAAGGGGTTTCGCCCTCTCCACCTGGTCCCGGCCTGCACAGCAGACAGCAGTGCTTCATCTAGGCTGGGAGTGACAGTACGAGGAAATGTTGCCTCCCTTTTCAATGTAGGTTGTGCTTATTTGGTGCGTTACCATGCACACGAACTTTAATGGAAACGACTTCTTCAGCTTGAGTTTTATCCAGTTTAGTTAGCATTGCCTTTTTTTTTAAGTGTACTTCGTTTATTAAATTTTGTGTTTTGGATCAAGTGTCTCTAGTTTTTGTACACAAGCCTTCTGAATGGCATTGGTGTGCTTGTGAACGTTGCTTACGAAAAAATACTCCCAACACATTTTCTGGACTAAGCTATAGAAGACGTATTTTTTTCCACCTGAAAAAAGACTCAACGCATTGAAGAATTCCTTGCCAGCTCTTCTGTACATTAGAGAAAAAAACACAAGTACAGCTTCCTGTAGAACATTTTAGTGTGCAGTACTTTCCCATTGCTTTTTGTCTTTGCCAGTGTGTGTAGTGTTACCAGTAACAGTCACATGAAGGTTGTGTTCAGTAAATATTCTGAAGCTATTGCCAGCTTAATGACACGACTCTGTCATGTGCTGAGGAGTACATTGTATCAGACCAGTCTTGGTAGAAGCAAGCAGTGTTTGTGGATTGATGCACAGAGTGCATGAAGCAGTCAAATGTTCGAGAAATGTCAGAGGATTTTGTTCTGATCTTTATTTCTCCATGAAGCTTTTTTAAGCACAGGAAACTCAACCATGTGAATAAAGACATGGATGCTTCACATTGTTGCTGTGTTCCAATTGCACTAATGCACCGAGGCGCAACAGCTGTTTTTTCGGCATGTGATCATTGAAGCCAAAAACATTGTCTGGAGTGAAGACGTTTAAACAGCTGTGCCAAGCATTCTCCCTGTCATATAATGGATTGAAGTCTGCTTTTCATTGTGCGCCACAGTCCACTCAAAATAATAGCACTAGGATCAAGTGGGAAAAGTCACTGCAGACACCAGTTGACACTTGTGACCCAAGTATAGAAGAAGCATGGAAGAAAAAGTGGAAAATGCAGATGTCAGCTTTATCTGCTGAGAAGGGGAAGAGCAGAATGTTCTGATTTGTTTGTCAATAGTTAGTATGGGTGACATATTGTAAAAGTGGTTTGTAAAAAAAAAAAGGAAACTTCCGCAAATTAAGAATGAATCGGGAATTCCAAACTTGTTTCTGAGACAATTGGTTAATCCCAACTCAAATGTAAATCAAGCAGGTTGCTCAATGCTGTGTTTCAAATGTGGGGGCTACATGAATTAGTCCCATTTTGCATCTTACGGTATGTGCTGTAAATGGTGTCATGGTTAGCACTGCTGCCTTGCAGCTCTCGGGTCTTGGGTTTGATTCTTGCCTAGGGTGCCTTGGTGGAGTTTGCATGGTCCCCCTTAATTCATGCTGGGTTTGAAGTGCTCTGGTGTCCTCCCACCTGCCAGGTTAGAGGTTAATTGCAGTCTCTGAATTGTCCCTGAACCAGAACAACCAGAACATTCTGCTCTTCCCCTTCTCAGCAGATAAAGCTGACATCTGCATTTTCCACTTTTTCTTCCATGCTTCTTGTGACACAGCTGCACAGCCTTGTGGCCCGTGCTTCTGAAAGAGTCTGAGGGTTTCCTCAACACCATTTTCTACTAATTGATAGATGTGTTCAAGTTAGTATCTTTTGGATGGAAAAATGATTCCTTTTCCATTGAGAGAAAATGGAGTTAATAAGGTCTGGAACTAAATGTGTCCAAATGATAAGTGGCTGCGCTGTTGTTTATGACTTTTATTAGATATCTTAGTATGTCACGTGTAGGCTGTGCTGTTACAAGCACAAACTGGATAGAACAATGTAGCCTAATATTTATTTCTTCTCTTTCAGCTTACAGAAGATGGCTGTGAACGTCTATTCAACTTCAGTAACCAGTGACAATTTAAGTCGACATGACATGCTGGCATGGATAAATGAATCTTTAAAAATAAACCTTACAAAGATTGAACTGCTGTGTTCAGGTAACATAGTGGAAATGAAAATATTTGCATAACTGTAATTTTCCTGTTTGAAGTCCATAAATGAGTTTTGTTATTTAATGTAAAAGAAGAATTAACTGAAAAAGAATTATAAAATGCCTTTTCCCTGTATCCCATGATCATGAAGTTTACAGGAGTTATTTAAAGTTCCATCCATTTAGACGTAGTTCCTATACTTGGAGAAACCCAGTAATTTAAGGCACAATTGAGATTGTTTTTTAATTTGTACTCCATTTAATGAAGGTTTACTGTGTAGAATGATGCATATCAGAAGATCAGTTAATGGAAAGGACTTCCAGTACACATTTTCTTACTGATCTCTTTTTCCTCCTGTTCTCAGGTGGTGCGTACTGCCAATTCATGGACATGCTGTTCCCTGGTTGTGTGCCTTTGAAGAAAGTGAAATTCCAAGCCAAACTAGAACATGAATTCATTCACAATTTTAAGCTGTTACAAGCAAGCTTCAAGAAAATGGGGGTTGACAAAGTTAGTAACCTTTTTTCGTGTTTTTACTATTTGCATCTACTTAAAATTAAACTGTTATTAGCTGATCATTAGTAAATCAGACATGAAATCCCCAGATATAAAGTTCAGCTGTTAATCCAAAGCTGTTCATACTGATGTGGCATTTTTAGTTTGTACCTTGGGCATGTTTAGAGGTGATCTTAGGGTGTGAAGATAAGGTTTTTTTAAGTATTTTGGGACTCTACTAATAGATATGTCAGTACTTTGGGGGCAGTTAATTGTAGGTGGTGTGACAGATGGACAGCTCCTTCTTTACTGTTTGATCATTGTAAATTGCTTGAAGCAGGACATTTCTAGGCTCCATGTTCTTTCACATAGTCTAGAAGAGTGGAACGATCCCAGGGCTGCTAGGTAGAGGTGAGCTTTGTCATTGATTAGAATCAGGCTATTCAGTCGGAGAAGAGCAGAGGCAATCGAATCTTTATCATTCACAATTGTCTTTAATAAAATACCAATATTAATATGTTCTCTTTTCAGATTATTCCTGTTGACAAGTTAATAAAAGGAAAGTTTCAGGACAATTTTGAATTTGTTCAGTGGTTTAAGAAATTCTTTGATGCCAACTACGACGGGAAAGACTATGACCCAGTAGCTGCACGCCAAGGACAGGAGACCATGCCTTTGCCCAACCCCTCCACTCCTGCTCTCAACAAGCCCAAGAAAATCCCCAGCACTGGGAGTGCAGGTAAGACCATGGACACCTTCAGCTTCTCCGCTGCTGTGCTCAGGGCTGTTCTTGACTCACGCTTGCATCTCCCCCTGCTTAGGGCTTCCTCGTTAGACCTAGCTGAAGTGTGTCTTGTTAATTTGTACCAGTTCCGTCTTTCCACATGATACAGTTTAGTTGGCTATTTTTATCCTTTATGCTTCATCTTGGCTTTGATGTTCAGCTGGAAACATTCCATCCGTTTTACGAAACATGCTTTAAAATTTAAAATCTGAAAAGAAAATGTTTTTATGTGCATGTGGAGTGGAGTTCACTTTCAGATCTTAAGTTAAAAATGATAACGTGTTATGTAGCCAAGTCCACTGATTTGTATACCCACATAGGGATGTTTTTGCAGATTTTACAGTTTCCCTTGCATTGTTTCTAAATCTTTATCCCAAAATAACATGAATTCCTGATGTGTCATTCCTTGCTAATTACAGATGACAGCCTCAGTCAGGTATCTAAAGGGAGACCAGCAGCAAGAATTGGTATACTAATTTGTTGGTCAGACCTGGTTCTGTGGCTTTGCACACACTTTCTTACACTGTGGGTTAAAGTTTCAGAAACTAAGTTCTCATTAATATACAACAATTATTTGTTAAAGTTCTTAATATTGGAAAAAATCTTAATATGCACGTTTTGGCCATTAGATTTAATTTTAGAATGTCAAAATCAAGTTTTGTGCAGTTTCCTGTTCTTTTTTTCCTGTTGTTTTTGGTTGGCTGCAATTTAATCATTTTCCGAGTTTCTGCAGGGAATAATACGTTTTGTTTAGTGTTCCTCAGTGAAAAACCTGCTAAACCATTTAATCATCAATTTGAATAATATCCAAACTTTGATGATATAATCAAGTATAATTTAATTTACCATATCGTTAGAAGAAGGATGCTGTGTGTGCGTTTTATTTGATGCAACAACCCCAAAAACTAATGAGAACCTTTTTTCTGGATATTTGTTTAATGCAGTGAGATTTTTTTTTTTTCCTTTCCATGTCCACTGTGTGCTCTTCCATAGTTTTGTATCTACCGAATAGATGTATGGAAAATTTAAGTACTGTTTCAACAATGGGGCAGTGGGCACAATCCAGGGAAGATTTGAATTTGAAATTCAAACAGCCACTCCAGTTCATTTTAGGCTGCCACCTTAAGCTATTTAGCACGCATCTCAGTGACTGTTTTTACGGGTTTGTTCATGGTTATATAAAAAGACCACTTGGCTCAATTTTGCCCTGCAATTACCTACAGAGTTTTATACCTTCCTGATCTCTCACTGCAGTGCAGTGATGTTGCCGGTTGTGCACTTCTTGATTTTTGCTGTTCTGGTGTCACTTGCAGCCCCTCAGAGACCAGCTGCAGTAGCAAAGCCAGCTCCTAAAGTTGCTTCAGTGGGAGCGCGGAGACCTGCCGGCGCAGGAAACGGCGATGAGGAGAAGGCTGAGCTCGTTCAGGAGGTTTGTGTAACTTCCAAGATTGTGGATGTTTATTCCTACAAGTCTAATTTTAAAGTCCCCCTTTTTTCCCCCCCAACCAAGAACAAGTTCTTGACTGTTAACGAGAGTTTAAGGGTATTTCGGTTAATAAAGAAAAGGAAAGGAAAATTGCATGGCAAGTCTGTGCGTGGGGTTCTTTTATCAGGTTGTTTCTAATCTGCTCCTAAAGCATTACACCGTTTTAAAACTGAGTAAAACCAAGTTATTTTTTTTTGTTTAAAAGGGGAGATGTTGTTCAGGTTCTCAACTGGTTAAGTAAAATCCGCATTTGTGTTCACTGCATTGGTTATTCTGCTTACACAGAATTATTTGCCCTACATCTGTCTTTTTAATATTTAGTACTAGTATCACTGAAAATAAAATAAAACCCTGTTGAGGTTAGATTCAGGTATATGCCAGTGAAGCAGGTATTCAGTTTACATAGGGTTTATGGAAAAATGTGTTGGACTCAGCAATTGCCAAAAAGACATTTTCAAACTAGAGGCTACAATTAATACCATTGCATGTGGTATTTTGCCTACAAATAAATTGGTTAAACCAATTTCAACATTTGGAATAAGCATTGTAGGCCTCAGCCTCTGGGGCTGGTCTTTGGTCCAGAACTTGACTAATTTGTCAAGGAGTTGTGCATGTTGCTAGGTGCTCTGCGATTTGTTGGCCCGTCAAATTAATCTTCCCACAGTGATGCTGTGTTTTGTAAAAGGCTCTAAACATGGTATGTACTTAATATGAATAAAGTTGTAGCAATTTAAAAACTCTTTAAATTTAGTCATTTTGTAGGTTTTGTTGTTGTTGTGTATTTTATGTGCTTGGCTTTGTGCTAGCTTTGGTTTGGATCAACTGCTTCACATTCAGTAGGGAGTAGTCTGTGTATTATATAAAGGACTCCAAATTTTTGTGTTCTATTACTTCCATGTAGGAAATGTATGCATAACCTGGATCTTTCTGTATATATTATTATTTGACTTCATGATATCATTTGGAGTCCTTATTAAGCATGATCCTTTGAAATGGGGTTTCCCCTGGCAGAAAATGTTTGTAACCATAACCACTGGTTTAAAGATACAGAAGTGCCTTGTGAGTTAATAACAATTTAATTGTTTTTTTCTTACCTCCAGGTTAACTTATTAAAACTCACAATTGAAGACATGGAGAAAGAGAGGGATTTTTACTTCGGCAAACTGAGGAATATTGAACTGATCTGTCAAGAGAAGGAGGGGGAAAATGACCCAACATTGCAAAGGATTGTTGACATCCTTTATGCCACAGACGTAAGTATTGTGCAAAGGGTTGTGGTAAAGTATGACTTAATAATGAAGCTTAATGATAGTGGCATCAGTCTACTTGTTCTCTGAAAAAGACAAGAGAGGACCTGCCTGTGGAATGTACTGTTCTTTAATGTTTTAAAAAAGTACATTCCTCACCTCTCCAATCTTTAATGTGTTTGTAGTATTGGTTGGTTGTTATGCTTGTTCCTTTATTTAATACCAGGATTGTGCAGGTACTGGCATGATTATACTGATATAAGAAAACCGATATACTGGCATAAAAACATATTCTGCTGCTACAGCTGTGAACATGCATTGCAGCTTTTCCTAAAAAGAGCTCTTTCTGACAGTTACAGAGTTTGAACTTTTTTTGACCAATTATCATAATGTTTACACAACTGTTTATTTATACTGTACTACTAATAAAGCATTACTTTTCATAGCAGTCATTTGAAATTGTGTTGCTTTCTCAGGAGGGCTTTGTTATCCCAGATGCGGAATCTCAGGAACAAGAGGAATACTAACATTCCAGGCTGGATGAAACTTCTACAGTACCTGTACTCCCCTACACATCATGTTATGCATTTAGTTGAGAATGAACTATATATGAAAATTTGTCGGCAAAAACTAATTGAAGTACCTCTTTTGACCCTTGACGTGTATAAATGCAGAATTCCAAAAGCAGAACTGTTCGTTTCAGAGTGGAGAAAAAAGCAACGCAGATCCGTCTTCAGACTTGGCTTCCCGTTGTTTTGCTTTTAGGGAAGTTCAGAGGTGTCCAGCGCCTTCCGTGTTTGTCTTCTGTTTTGTTTTTCTGTAAGCTCTGTCACCTTTTCACTGTTGTGGTTTTGTAAAAGTCACTAAAGTTTTCTGATTTTTTTGGATTATTAAATGTTGCTGAAATTTAAGAAGTTTTTTAATTATTCTATTACATATCGGAACAGAATATCACGTTCAGGGGTTTAATGGAAACGAAAGACTGGGCACCAGACACAATTTGAATATGTATCAATATCTGGTGTTCTGTCTTGAAAGGAAAAGTGCGTTTTATTGCGGTTCTGTGATGTGTTTTTCAACACTTGAGTTCTCAGTACTGAGACATGAGGACTACAGTGTATTTGTCTTGGTGTGGTAAATGAGTTGGTCTTTATGAATTGGAAGTCAACAGGGAGTCGTTGGTTGTATACCAGTGACTGAGTGCCATTTGTTTAATTTTTTTATATTCTATACAATACCTACTCTAGCATTGTGGATTAGATATTTTGGCAATTCTGAAAACTGTTACATTATTGCACACACAATGAAATTGACACTGTTTCTATTAATGTTTTTATTTAAATAAGAGTTTAAATAGTTTGTATCCAATGTCTTTTATTAAAGCTCTCACAGGGTCCCTTATCCAGGTTCACTTAAATTCTGCTATTCTGTGTGAGGGAAAAAACGTTAAACTTTAATTGTGAACTGGTTTATTTTCTATTTTTAATACGTTTTTATTCCTGATAAAGGTTCTCAAGATTTTTTTTTATAAAATGAATGTTTTTCCTGCAGCACATTTCAGGTATAATGAAGTTCTGCCTCTTTAAATTTTACAACCTTTTAAAGAAATCTGCAGGAAGTCTGGTGTAAGTGATTGGCTTTTTAGATTGTGAAGACGCCTAACAGGAAGTAATGCAAAGTTTCCGCATAAGGTTATGATGGAGAAAAATGTTTCAAATTCTCACACATAAAATTGGCGAGAAAGAAATCCAGTACATTTATGTTTTTGGGTATGTTCTTCTGGGTTGCACCACAAAATCACAGCTTCATTTTAGTTCACCAAGTGTGTGGTTTTATAGTGGCAACAACATCAGTTTCGGAGGCTGTGACCTTCCAGGTAATCTCTAGATTACTTTGATCAATACCTTGGCAGCAGACTGCATGAAATGAGGCCCGTTTGTGTGAAACGGTTAAAAAATGTGCAACGAATCTGTAAGCTTTTACTATGATTGCAGTACATTCTGACATCATCTGCTTTCAGAATAATGGGGTTTCCTAAGAGATCTTGCCTGTTATTCATTCCTGAATTGTCAATTCTTAAAAGTCTGTTTCACAACTTTTTGAAGACTGCACTGTGCAGTTTAATTTCTGATTAAATTTAATATTAATCTGGGGGAGATAATGTGAGGGATTTGTTTCCCCTTTTCTAACACTTTGAATCCATGGATGAATTGTCTAGCTGAAATACCAGTTACTGCTCATCTTCATAAACAAGCAAAGGGATGTGTATGTATTGTTGGTCTACTTATTTTTTGCACTGAGTCAAGAAGCTCACCACTATGATGAAAATCAAGGACTTTTTTTTTAGAAATGGCACCTTCTGAAGACCATGGGGTAAATGATCTTTTCAGCAAGATAATGGTGAAGGAATGTTTTTGTCTTGTTAAGTCCAGAATATAGTAAATGCATTGTCAGAATTATGTAAATATAAATCTGTCACTGGAGTACGTCTCCATTTCTGAATATTTTTCTGTGCCAATGTCTTCGGACTTCTGTTTCAAGTTGGTTATGGTTTCATCGCATCAGTTTTAGACAGTTTTTATTTGGAAGCATGTGTGAAGGTGGAATAAGGAAAGACTGTAAGTAGAACTTTAGAAGTTGCCAAAAACATACAGTAACCAGCCATTGTTGGGATGGGAGTGAATGCAATGGTGCTATTTCTAATTCCTCTTGTGGCCTTTATGGTTTGTTGTCCTAAGATTCTTGTACACTGTGGACCATGTACCACTATTGGTCTGTCTCTGCAGGGCGTTCTTCTTTTACCAATTTGCTGAAGTCGGTTTCTTACGAACAATAAAACTATTTCCACACTGTTGAATTGTCTTTGTAATGTTTTATCAGGGGTGTTTGCATGGTTTATATTTTGTATTTGTTTTTTTGCATGGATCTGTCAAAACAGGTGTTCTAAATCCGTTAACTCATGTCCTTGAATCGATTGCTTTTCTTGTTAGTGAAGAAATGCTGTCTGCTTGCATCTTTTTATGAAGCCAGTAATTTTCATGTTCTTTAGATCATAGGTCATCTCCAGTCCTGGAGTTGATCCAATCACTTTGGTTTTATAGGTGTCTCCCCTTAGTGGAGAATCACATTATTCTTGAGCAGTAATATTAGTCCACAATTCAGTTAAGTATAGGGGATGCAGTTAGAAGGTATGGCCCCTATCCTACACATTTTAATTATAAAAATTAAAGATAGATGACAGATTTGTTTTACCCAGTTCTGTTGAATTAAAATGTTTTGGCTTGAGCTGAATCTCAGTAGGCAGCCCCTATCTTGAGATTTTCCCTTTTTCCATCGATTCAATTTTAAGGTTTTTTGGAAATTGGTAAGCAATTCCTTGTTTTAAAAGTGGAGTATTGCAGTCATGTTAAAGCATGTGCCTTTTTAGAACTGTACCTCCCTCATTCTGTCTGCCTTTTTATCTACATAAGCTTCCACCTTCTAGATATGCAGCTTTGGAGCTTATATCCTTTTTAGTGGTGTGCAACAAGCTATAGAGCTGACAGGTCTCTACCGACTATCATACTAGTGTTTTGTGTAGCAAACCTCTTTCCAAGTTCCGTGTCGTATAGTGTTTGCTTCCTCTTTGTGGCACGAGCCGGAAGTTTACTGTTGTCAGTTTAGTCAGTCCTTTATCTCGGGTTACCCAGGATAGTCAAGCCTGTTCAAGCAGGCTTTTGCTGTGGATGAAATGAGATTTTGCTGAAATGGAGATTCCTGTTAGGTGCTTGTGGATAAGTATATGATTGTTCTTTTCTCACCATGTAATAGAATACGGACGACTCGCATACGTGTTCATTCTCATTTAACCCAGTGCCGGCCCGAGGAGGACAGGCTCCCTCTTTCGAGCCTTGGTTCCTCTCAAGGTTTCTTCCTACTTTAGTCTACTAGGGAGTTTTTCCTTGCCACTGTTGCCTTAGGCTTGATCACTGGAGGTTCAGGCCCTGGAACCTGTAAAGCTGCTTTGTGACCATTGTAAAAAGTGCTATGCAAATAAACCTGGGTTGAATAAGTACATCCAAAATGATAGCATTAACTGCTTTTCTAGAAATGCTCAAACGTGTTAATGGGTGTTGCATGCACCCCCTTGTTGTGTAGAAGAAAGTTTTCATATGAAAATTCAAATAGTTCTTCCCAAAGATGAGAATTCAAGGTAAGGAGGAACTCTGTAAGACAGTGATCTCAAAAGGCAGCATGTGTTTGGACTTATGCAACAGCTGCATATTGACTCAAGATAAGTATTAACTTTCTCAGTGTTATTCTGATGGCTAATAATCCCAACATGACATTGTAAGCACTCAGGCTAAACCTTTGCTTGAACAAAGACATTTGTTACATACTGTGGCAAGCTCAGTCCTTCATATAGAGTGTCACAAAATACTGTGCAGTGCAAAGACATCTTAAATTATTTTTCCCGTGCGATATGCATAAAGCAACATTCATATAAGAAAAGATGTCATACAATATCCACTTAAAAGAAAAAATGTGGTTAAAAATGCAGGTTCCAGTGTTTTGAATTACCCCTTGCCATAAAACAAACATTAAATCCTTTAGTCTAGTCTGTGAGATCATCAGGGAGGATGAATTATGATTAGATGACATCATAATAAAGGAACATTCTATGAAATTACCAGCCCTCTTTCAAGTGGAAAATGTAAGTGCCGAGAGCTCTGAAAGGACACTATAAAAATGAAAAAGAAAGAAACGCAAGAAATCCTGATAAAGGGTAGCACATCTGTGAATGCCAGTAACGCAAATGTGAAGGTAGCTAAGCAGTCCTCTTCAGTAGCATGGTAAGTTTCTTTTGTCATAAGTTATTGTGTTGCCAGTTGTGAGTCTTCATACATGTTAAAAAATATATTTAATTTGTACTGTACAGTATACTGTATGTTTACAATACTCTATATTATACAGTGTATAGAAATGATAAAAAATCATTTTTATATTTGTAGGGCGAACTCGGAGACTGATAAAAACAAGCAGACTGCAACACAGGTATAGTACAGATGGCAAATGCACTGTTTTGCTAAAAAAAAACGTTTTTGTTAAATATAAGCTGGATATGGTTCAAAGTTTCATTTGCTACTTCTAGGTAGCTTCTCAAACGTTTTAGGACAAATGTAATGCAGTCTTGTATATATATTCACTCTAAATAGCTACACTTTTTCTGTTTTGATGTTGTAACTCACTAACTATAACTATGAATAGTAACTGATGAATAGTAAATCAGATATTGATTGTAGTGAACACTTGCAGTTTCTCTTGACGCGAAGAGGGAACAGATCTTCTGAACTAACTTATTTAAAGCATGGAACATTGGAACACTGAATCCAGAATCCTTCCCTCTATCTATGTATTTATAATGTCTTTATCCAGTACAGGGAGTATCCAATCTCAGCAAGCAACAGGCATAAGGCACCCAGGATGGGATGCCAGTCTGTTGTAGAGCAGATACACAGACACCCACCATCAATTTTCCCCAAAAGCCAGTTAACCTACCAGTGTGTCTTTTGACTGTGGAAGGAAACCCACATTTACGTGGGGAGAACATACAAGCTCCACACAGATAGCAGCCCAGTAATTGAACCCAGAGCCCCAGCACTTCAAAGCAGTAATTCTAGCCACAGTGACACTGCACCACCCTACTACAGAATCCTTGTTGGCCCAAACTGTGTTCCTCCAGTATAGAAACACTGATGTGCAACCTGTTAACCATCTCTAATCCGTTCCGCTCTGGAGACAATGACCCTGAGCAAATTCCCTGTTCCTTTCCAGCTGCTTTACGTTCAAAGCCCATTGCTCATTTGCTGTTGACTTGCACCCTGTGCTTCACATTTCCCACAGCAGCCAGCTGGCGCCCCAGCGGAGAAGCCAGCGAAGGAGGGCGAGATGTCGGCAGAGGAGAGGCAGACGCAGGGCCGCGTGGAGGACCAGATCAACAACGAGCACCTCCAGCGCATTGAACGCATGTTCCGCGAGGCTGATACAGACGGGGGCGGAGGCCAGTAACCGAATCGCGGAGATTCTTAAAGGCCTTCTAACATATGGATATGTACTGAAGACCTGGTTAAAAAAAAAAGAAGTTTCAAAGCATTCACGAGTTAATAGGGTTAGTCAGCGCAGTTGTACCAATGCTGAATTATAAAAGGTAAATAATAGAACCCCACCCTCCCCAAAGAACATGAGTATCAAGCAAAGGGAAAAGGGAAATGAGGTACAATTCTGTCTTGATCTGTTACGATAATAAAGCATTATAGCTTGCCTTCCTCCTAAAATGTCCTTTTTGATTTAACTTTGCAGGCTTGGACATGGAGGAGTTTCGAGATGCCATGAAGAAGATTATGGGCGAGGTGGATGATGAGGACCTGGACATCATCTTCATGAAAGTGGACACTAACTGTGATGGCAACGTGGACTGGGTGAGCGGGTCACAGAGCTGCCTTTCGAAACATGCCTGAACGGAAATTCATATTTTAGCTCTCTCTAGAAAGCAGCTACAGATCAGCAAGCAAAGCATTGTGGTTCACTGGGAGACCGTAAAATCCTGATGAACCGTTCAAGAAAAGCAATTCGATTTGCCTTGAAAAAGATTTTATCGCTCGGCTGCAGACCTTTACATTTTGGATTGTTCGTTGACCAGGGACTGGATGCCAGCAATTTTTTTTATGATCTTTAAAATGCTGTTGATAGTGTCACATAATAGGAGCCACCTGAGCCCTCTGTTAAGTGCAGACTGATCCTTAATAGGCAGGCTGCTTGAAAGTTTGAATAGTTCGAATAGTTTTTAGGATAGAACTGTTTTTGCTCCTTTATATTGAAATTCAAACCTCTCTGTCCATCTCCACTGTGACCCCGAAGATGTTCATGCAGCCTAGTTGAGTATTATTCCTTCACTTTGGACTTTGAAATAAATTATATCGTATAACATTCAGGCTCTGTGAATATTACAGCAGTTCATGCACAGACTGTCTCAGCGACAGAGAAGGCTCGTAACTACAGCTGGCACAGAAAGGCCCTTGTACATAATTGATATAAATAACTTCTTCCCAGAAAGGACTTGACCAGAGGGAATACTCATGTTTTGCCGGAGTCAATGGGGTGTTGATAAACAGTATGGATGAAGGTCTTTGATAGCGGCAGGCATGGGGCTTAACATTACTTCCTCACATCTCCGGCCTGCACTTTCAGCCTGTGCTCCCTGTCCGAGTGGTGTTTGCATGTTCTTCCTGTGGTTGTGTCTGGATCCCCCATTTTCCTCCTGCCTCCCAAAGACAGGCAAGCTATCTATGACAGGACGCTTGAAATTGTCCCTTCCCAAAGCTTGAACCACAAAATATGAACCTCTCATCAGAACCCAGACTAGAAAAAAAAAGACAGATTAGAGCTATGATGCAGAAATTGTACCATCCCTTCATTTAAATTAGGTGCTTTGAACAATATAGCCTAACATGAACCTGAAAGAAATATGGGATCAGTTGTAAAGGAGGTGGTGGGTTTTTAACTTGATTTTATGCCTTTTTTCCAGCTTTCCAGGGTGTGAATGTGTGTGGTGCTGTGGATGGGTGTTTTCTAAAGCAGAGTGACTTTTAATAAATTAGTAGGATGGCTCAAGGTTCTCTCCCACCTCCCAGTAGCCCTGCCATCCCCACATCAAGTACAGATTTCACACTGAAGCACTTTTTCTCACATCCCTGCTCTTGCACCTGTGTTTCCAGGATGAGTACCTGAACTACATGCTGCTGGAGTACCGGGAGAAGGATTCCCTTCAGCAGCAGACCAGACCCCTGTACTTCCCCAAGCCACTGAAGATCATCCCTGTGTGAGGCAGCCCTCTCGGCAGCGACAGTGTTATCTCTTCCTGTAAATGTATCCTAAACACCAGGCGAAACTACACTCTCCCTCCCTGGGACGTGGGCTGAAGCAGGAGCAGGGGTTGAAACCAGAAGTGGGGTGCTGGAATGCCAGCTCTCTGGGTGTATTTCCAGTCTAAAAAAGTGGGAAGCTGTTGATGGAAAAGCGGAAAAGCATTCTGTTTTGCCCAAAAATGCAATCTGTCATTCATTTATGACCCAGTTCTTTCACAGATAGGTCACTGAATTATATTTCACAAGAAAGACCTCTCAAATGTTTTTTAAAACTCTCTTTGGCTTCTAGATTAATTGGTTTCAAGAGCTGCTGAGTAGCGGTTCTGCTTTAAATCTGCCAAAACAGCAATCCTCTTCGTCTCCTGCACTTTCAGGATTTTAGCTATTGGCTGCTTCGCCCTTATTATTAAATTGTTTAATTATTATAATAATAATGTTATAATAATGTAAAAATTATTCATATTTTGACTGAGACTTTCAAAATACAATTTTTACTGAAAGTTTTGGTTCAGTTCAATAGTTACGTCTTCAGCTCCAGGATCCCTGCACAGGGTTTGAACGCATGAGTTCAGTGCTAACATCTGCCCCTGTTCCTTATTATTCCGCCTCTGTTTCTGTGGTAATGAAGGGTTAACAGGAACAAAATATGGATGCTGACGTTATTCTGAATTACTTAACCTTGTTAGTACAGACGAAGTAGCGATGGACTGGTTTCATTACCAGAACATCCTCAGAGTGGTATAGCTCATCCTTCTGATTCTGTTATTCATTAGCAACTAACAAAGTAAATTGATCAATTTGTGCTGGTCTTTGATTCTCAGTCTCTGGCTCTAAGAGAGCTTTGCAGGCTGTGACAGGCCAGTGGATGTTGTAACAGTACAGTATGTGTTACAGTAGGTACAGCTGATGGTGCCACCACCCAGTCAGTTCAGCTCATAACACAGCTTCAGTGCAACATATTTAAATGTTTTATAGTTGTTTCAGATTCTTAAGTTCATTTTACTTTGTATGGTCTGAGCCCTGAGGCTGTGGTAAGTAATCTGGCTTTTGATGTTGGCGTGCATAGCATTTATTTCGTCTTCCTGAATGGGCTAAGTCTGTTTTGACAGCAGTGTAATAGGTGTGTTCCTACACTCTGGCAAAGACTGACTTTTTTTGTTATGGAGTTAAAAGGGTTTCCATGTATCTCTTAAATAATTAAATAGTAAATCTGGTTCTACAGCACAGCCTTTCTGTTCCATCTGTGATAGTGCTGGCAGCTGAGTCCCAAGAAAAGATGTTAACACACTGTAACCCCCAGTTATCTTGCTGAGGAGACACTTATGTTCTGGATAATCTCTTGTGGAATTAAAAGTTATGTACATAGGATTTAATAGATTTATATCCTGCTTTAAAAAAAAATATTATAGAAAGAACAGCCCGGCCCAATTTCATTTTGTAGTCTGGTCAGTTTTGTAATACGAACTGTGTTCTTAGCTATTTCCAGCCTATTGCAGAAGTTCACAGTCCCATATTTATGATACTGGCTGTTATCAAAGCAGAGAAAATGCTATTGCTGTGTAGAACAATTTCATCTACAACATAATCAGCAGTAGAAGCCTGACCTTTGCAATACATTTCCTATGCAAATCCATCATTGGACTAAATGAATCAGGCTGTGGGGGACTTCAGACGTCCGAACAGAAATGCTGCCATTATTTCGCTATTTTTAGCAAATCTTCTAAATGGTGATCAAATCAAGACCATTCAGCAATGCTTTTAATGGGAATATGATTTCACTCCAGTGGGAGGCTCTGTGCTCTCATTGGCTGAGATTTTCCCTTGGGTTGGGGGGGAGGACTGTCTTCTCTCCAGTAGGGATAAGGGGGATTGTGTGTGCATGAGCACAGACAGTGTGGCCTGAATGTCTAATAAACCTCTTTCAATGATGAGTCACTTCTCTGGAAATGCAGCACCCTCCCCCTCCCTCCTCACCCCAGTTTGCAGTGGAGTCGCGATTAATGACTCAGTAAGGAGCATGGCTCATGTAGCTGTGCATGCATTATTCAGACAAATTCCAGTGTATCGGCTCAATAAATGAATGAATGTGTTCCACTGCAAGCATGATCCAGTACAGAGCTGTATGCCAACTATAACATAATTCCTGTTCGTCCACTACAAGCATCTGTATTTCCGCGTGTGTGTTTGGGTTACTTTGACATTATATGGCTTCTGTCTTTTTCCATCCAGACATTTAGCTCCTCATACCAATGGAAGCCCTGTTAATGTGTTTACCAGTTAAAGGAGCATCTGTACATGTGTTATTCAGGCAGAGGTCCAAGTAAACTAAGCTGAGGCTTAAGAGGCACATGTCCCTAAACAAACAGATTGTGAGATGAAGCCAGAGATGTGTGTCTGCAGCACCACAGGGGTCACATTCTGACTGAACATGTGCTATTATCTCTCTGAATCACTATATGATATAGTATTAAGGTCAGCATTAGTATGGACATATGGGTTGACTCATTACACTCTTGTGCCATAGACTGGTTCCATGTTTTCCATACGTTACCATTTGGATAATGATTGGAGCACTAGAGTCATGGTCAAACTGCCAGTTAAAGAGCTAACGAGAGCTATACTGTTTCCTGGTGAGTTCAAATGACTGGGGTTTGCTGGGAGAGTCATTACTGCTACCTCCTCCCTGTGTGTGAGTGTGTTTGCCTGGCTTGGCCCTGCCTGACACTGGCTCTTGTGTCTTTAGGGCTCATTGTGAGGTGATAGTGCGGCTACAGTTCTATCCTTTCCAGACACCCCAGGCAGACAAGAAGGATTCTGGCGAGCAGAGTGGGCTCCCCAAGGCACGGACCCAGCTGGGCCGCTACCTCTCCATCAGCCGGGATGGAATCCTGTACTACTGGAGCGAGAGATTCAAGCTACTCCGGACTGTCAATGTGAGGCCGCGGGCAGACCCTCACGGGCCCAGTGTGTTCCCACACACCACTACTTAAAAACACAACCGGATGATCCTCCAGGGATCCAGAGCTTGAAACCTAAGCTTGGAAATATGTTTTCGGTGTATTTGTAATCCTAATTGAATTTAAGAGCAGAGCCTGTGTGTTGCTGATGTGATTATGTGTGGGGAAGGAGGCTGAAGTGGGGCAGGAAGTGTCTACCCTTGTGAGCGCTGGCCTTGGGCGCTGAAGTGTCTGCTGCGTTTCAGCTGGACACTCTGAGGCGCAGCCATGCCCATCCCATCTGGGTGACCGACATGATCTGCCTGAGCAACTTGAACCTGCTGGCCATCTCCTCCACCGGCCGAGACGTGGGTGTGTATGTCAGTGACCACAGCACTGCACTCCTTCTCTGTGTAATGCATTGTGTGGTGATGTTTTGAACACTTTGTAGGTGCAAGGACAGAGCAGTGAGTTAGAATATCTGTCAGCTGGCAGATCTGTTTCATAAGGTCACCAGACTATATTCGATTTTATTTTTGAGAAACAGCTCAAGATGGTTACAAAACTAATGAATGACTGAGCAAGAACGCTTTGTGATTGAGTGTGGCACGTGTTAAACATTCTTAAGTGTAACCTTGTAAGAGATCATGCACTGGTTAATTTGAAATGTGATGAAAGACAAATGAAGAATGCACTTTATTTATTTTTTTTAACATCAGAATTCTACGACATCAGTGCCAGCAAATGTGACATTGTCTTTTCCCTCACTGGGCTGGACAGCTACATTCTAGTTATGGACTACTGGTAGGTACCAATCTGCATGAGTAAAACAGGGTGTTCTGTTATCTGTGCTACTCATTTCTTACCTGACGTTAAGCATGTCAGATCAAGGATGACTTCATTCTCTCTGTATTCACTGTCTACAGTAGCTCTCATAATGGATTATCCTGGTTGCAGCCAAATACCAAACTATACTCATATATTCCAGAAATTACTCCACGTGATTTTATTTCAGTATTCAAATTTCTGAATTAAGGAAATCATAATGGTTCCAACTGAGAGGAGGCCATTCTGCTTTTATGGTAGGCCATAGCAAATAGATCCAAGGAACTCACTGCACTGATTCCTGAAAGAGCCCAGGGTGTTGACTTCAACAACATACAGTAGCTGGATAGTGTTTCCATACTCCCACAATCCTAAAGGATATAGATCAGCCTCCTGTTATCGATTTTAAATGCATTTCCAGAGCTCCCACGTTCTCTAGTTTGTCTTTCTCTGCTGAGTAGGGTGATATTCATGAACGTATTGGAAATGGTATATAAGATAGGGCTGGGCTGTATTATTTGCTGATGAGCTGCAGTGCAGAATCGTCTGGGCAGACCAGGGTCTGGTGGGCTTGAGCAATCCAGGACAGCTTTGGTTTGCCTTGCATCAGTGCCCGTGAGCTTGCACTACTGATAATGAGAGGTGCATCACTCCTCCTGAAGATTTCAGGAAGGTAGAGCAGCCAGAGGTTTAAATTGGATAATGTGGTATACATTAATGACTCGTGTGAGAAACAATAAAGGAGCTGTGTAAGAAGACAGTCAGAACAAATGTTCTTGACTATCAAAAACATAAGTGAGAGAACCAAGGTCAGAGAAGCTGAAAATCATAGGCAGTATGCCACATCCCCTTATCTACCCTGAGAAACATAACTTCACTTGTATATAAGCTGCTAAAAACATGCATTCTGTAGCTATCTATTCTGTAGCTGCAATGTAAAAGTTTTAGGTTTACAATTCTTCTGGGTCGATCGAAACTTGGGGAGTGAAAGGCAGTTGAACTGTCTTTGAAGCAGCTGCAGGAAATAAACATAGTGTGCAGTTCTGTACTTCTCTTGTCCTGAGCTTTGTCCTTTTTATCACTACAGCTCCATCAGTGTTGAGTCCTCTCTTGGACAAGCGTAAAATGGCAAGTGGCTTGTCTGGGGGGTGTTCTGGAGGAAAACGCACACTGTCCCCAACCTTTTCATCACTGTTCGAGGCTTATAGTAGAGTTGATGAATGATTCAGGATAACAGAAAGGGTGTAAAAGTTTATATTATTTGTTGTTTTTAGGTCTGATGGGAAAAAAGGTGTGTTTTCCATGGGTGATGCAGGAGGCAGTATTTCAGTCTTCATATCTTCAGACGTTATCCGGTATGGACTCTTCAGCACTCTGAACAGCACCTCTAAAACAGGTACAGTCTGTCACGGATGTCCAAAGGGACTAACCGTGGGGAGCAGGAGAGCGGAAAAAGACCCATATGCATAGTGGCGAGACGGGAAAAAGGCCCGGGCTCATTAGTGCAAAGAGTTCAGGAATGCCGTATAGAAACCTATGCCCTCAGGGAGCGGACGTGGGGCGCCCTGGTGCTAGGCGGGTCTCAGGACATCCGAACGTCAATGCTGAGCGAGGACAGAGTGCAAGACCCGGAAATATATAGCCCAAGGGAAAGAGAGGGACAGGAAGGACAGCAGACTGGAAACTAGGGACAGGACAGAGAAGGAGCGCCCTCTGGCTGCAGAGGGCGTGACAAGTCTCTGCCCAGGACAGCTGACCATTCCAAGAAAAATCTAATAATATCGACTGATTTCCCTAGCAGTTTGCATCAATCCTGTGTGATAGTGAGGTGTCTAGGAAAGATATTCGTTGGGTGGGTTTGTTTAATCAATTTAAAGTTAAAAAGTAGTTTTTTATCTAATCTATCAAAATTGCACACATACATTTTTGGGGTTTTGTTTAAAATTATTTTGTGGTGGTGTACGTTCTGAATAAGATCCATGGAAGTGGAAATTGCTTGAGGAGTTCCTGGCAAAATAATGTCAGGAACCACATTAGTAAACAAGGCCTATGTTTCTATTCATGTTTTTTCATATTGTACCTCTCTACATTACATGTTTTCTATGTACAGTTTATAAGTAATATTCCACATCATTGGTTTTATTTTCATGTATAGTAAAAGGGCAATATACAGTAGCTCTTCCCTGTGTTTTCTATGCATTTGTGTGAAGAAAAATATTGTTTGGAGGTATAAAAATGTCCTTTGTTTCCCTCCGCTCCAGGGTAGAAATCTTCTCAGAGCAGGGAGTGACTTCAGGTCCTCTGGCTGGAACTATTTATGGCTCCTCTCACACTGAAGTGACTCGATTATGAAAAAGGCTTTCTAGTCTAAGTCACATCAATAGTAATAGAAATCCCATGGTGACTGTGAATGACGAACACCAAACTAAATGTCAGAACTGAAACCCTAAAAACAAATTTCTTTAACCATTTGAGGTTAAGCCTAAGTGTGCCTTCCATCGTCTATACTATTCGTCTGAATTTCTTTTTCCCAGCTGATGTTTTGATCACTACAGAGTTGATTTTGTAGAAATAGCACATATTCTAAGTAATTATTATTGATAAAAGTCTAAAAAAAATAATGAATTCTCTGACATAACGTTTCATTGATATATTGAGCACGTAGGTTGTTGCTTATTATTCAGTGCTCCATACAGGCAACAGAAAAACCACAGACACACATATACTGTATATAATTTAAAGATATCAAATTTAGCTTGTTTGGTTCTGAGTAGATAATTGTTCTGAGGATGTCACCCAGCTGTATCTTGAAAAAAGCCAAGGTATGAGCTTCCAAAAAATGGCTGGGCAGCTTATTCAAGACTCCTGCAGCTCTTTGTGTAAGAAAGTGTCTCACATTCTCAGTTTGTATCTTCCATTTAGTTTTGTGTTCTCTGGCTCACGTTTGATGTTGACTGGTGACAATGCCTTTGTGCATTTTGAAGGATTGGACCAGTCCCCCCATCGTCTTTTTTTTATTCTGGACTTAACAGATATAGTTCAGGACAGTCCTTTCAGCCCTAGAATGTATCTGGTCACTCTTCAACAGACTGGTTAACTTTCCTTCTATGCAGTATGTTCATAACCAGTCCACCTGCTTCTGTCTGGACAGCAAGTGATTTTCAAGTGGAGATTTTCTCTGGAACTAATTAATCATTTGTAGTCTCGGATTCTTATTCTTAACAATTCTTTGTTTTACAGGTGGAAAATGTCGCATCCCTACACCAGCTTTGTTTAAAAATACATCCAGCATTTACTTGTGCTTCAGAGTTTCTGTAAGTAGCGGATCTATATTGCATCAAAGTAGCTGTAATATTCAAGAAATATTTAAAGTTCAGCACCTGCTAGTCGAATGGCTCAGTTGTCTATACACGTGACTGCCTTAGTTATATTCCGAGCCATGATTTAAGATAGTTGTATGAAAGCAGAATGAGTCTGAAATTGGTTCAGCTAGAGATCACCAGATACAAGAGAATAAATAAACTACTGTAGAATAATACCAAAATAAATTTCTATCTACGTTTGATTCTTCTCCTCGATAGTTTTGTCATGTCCCAGATTTCGTCTTGTTTCCCATGAGAGTCTGAGGCATGAATAATAAGTATTTCTGCTCATGAGCGTGGCTCATTCCTTGCTGTTTCACGCTCTTTCGGGGCTTTGTGTGCAGGCTCTCCACAGTGACTGGTGCTACCAGATCAGGTTCATCCCGGAGCTGAACGCTGTCGCCACCTGCTCTGCTACTGACAACAGCGCCATGGTGCTGACCCTGGTGCCCCACTCCCAGAAGAGCCGAATTCAGTACGGCTGCTTCCCACCTCCCTCCCTCGCTCTGCTCCAGCCCTTTGTACACCTCCCGTTTTTCAATGAAATGATCTCAAAGTTTTCCTGACCAATCCTGAATCGGAATACTCCTCTTTTCTGTGATTCACAGTAACTCAGCTTTTCATCTAAGGAAAGGCATTTTATGCTTTGACTATTCCCCAGAGTTTAATATACTTGGTAAGTAGTATGTTGGATCTGATGTATTTTTGTGATTTGTATTAGACATTTTTAACTGGCCAAGCCTTTAGACAGAACAGAATAGAGGTGTTGTAAAGGAGTAAAAATCCATGCTAGGGAGAAATATAACCATGTTTTGATAATACATTTCAAAAACCTCACATAAATGTTCAATAGCTAGTAACTGAAAGAGCAAATTCCTGTGGCTACAGACTATTTCCAAAATATACAGTTCCTTACATAGATTTTGTAAACATATTTCTTCAACATCTTCAACAGCTCAACAGATTGAGATAATGTTGTTAATATGTGGTTACAAAAACAAAAAAACAGAGCAGAAGTGCAAACTGGACCTTAGTGAAGAAGAACCTGTGGGAGGTCAAAGTGTGCAGTTTTAGCAGGAGCAAGACAGCACTGTTGCAGGGGCTGACTCTTGTGGCAATCTTCTCGCTGTGCCTTGCTCTGCTGCAGTGACGGGAGGATTTGACAGGATCGTGAGAATCTGGAACCCCTACGTCACAAACTGCGCCACCTCCCAGATGAAGGGGCACATGTCCGCCATCACCCACATTGTGGTCAACGGGCGCGACAACAAGATCATTAGCATTTCCAAGGACAAGGTGAGTTGCCCAACGACAAGTGGAAGAACAAAAGAATTCTTGCCCATTGTCTATTTCTTTTGAGATGGACATAGATCTACTTTTTGTTGGACGTTTTAAGCTTTCCTGAAAAAAAAAAACAGTTTGTGTTGCGTTAGATCTTGACAAAGTAAATACTGCAGAATGGGTGGATGTTGGGTCAATGAATAAGCATGGTGAAGACAAAGCAATAAGTGTGTAAAAGGGATTCCCCCAGTCGACTCAATTGGTGAAGTTATAGGAGTTGAGCTCTTTGATCTTTGTGGGTTTGAGCCTGGATCATGTCTCTAGCCTACTGTGACCAGGATTCCTCAAGAGTCGACACCACGATTGGCTGCGCTCCACCAAGGGTGGGGTGGGAATAATAAAATAAGCTCACTTAGTGACACAGCGACCCCTGTGGCCACCCAGGTACTTGCAGGCATGAAATGAGGCTGGCGAGGGATGCGCCGCTCACGCATTTCAATGCTTTTTGTTTTGAGAATGTGCGTGTCTGGGACCTGCAGGACTGCGCTTGCCTCCAGAACATCCACTCTAGAAACATGCCCTTGGGCAAGTTCCCCATCTCAAGCATTCACTACAGCAAGGACACCAACACCCTGGCCCTCTCCACCTTTCAGGTTGGCGGTGCTGGTCTTCCGTCCTTCCGTTTCTTCTTCTCACTTAGCGTTTGCTTCTAAGATTCTTTTATCATAGATTTCTTAAAGCTTCAGAAAATTGGACTGAGCAGGAGTTCTGATTTTTTTAAAACGTATTATTCCAAATCGCATTATTTTTTGTTTGCATGGAAAAAAAAAAAGAAGTTGGCTTCTGCTCAGGGAAAAAACAATCCCAGCTTGTGATGCATAGACTGCTGTGGAGACAATTTTAAGGGAGCAGAAGCTAAAAGCAGGTCAGCTTTTGTCTATATAATATACTCCATGCTGCAGGAAGAAATACTGTTGCCCAGTAATGATGAGAGAATGTCAGACTTTTTCCTTGTGCTCATCATTGCTGTAGATTGGTGTTCTGTATGGTGCAGTGGAAGATGTAGAGGCCAGCAACAAAGCAGCCACCTCCCATGAGCAGTCACTGTGTGCTGCACTCTACAACAGCAACTTCAAACAGGTATGTCAGGTGGTGAGGGCGTTATGGGATTGAATTGGGGTACTCAGTGTTATAGATACGCTGCTGTGGACTTTAGAAAATGAATAGATGGTCTGATCTTGAAGGTGATTTTTGTAAGATTATTATAGCTTCTACTCTCTGCCTATCTTGCTGGACTATTAGGATAACACCAGACAGATTTCTCCAAGCATCATCATTGTAATAGTTGTCATAGTTGGACCCAAACTGGGGCTGTGACAAACTTCTCTGAGTCCCTACTGTTCTGAAAACATTGGCTGCTGTGATCAGCAGAGAACTCTTCTCTTCCAGTGGGCCCTGTTTCTCCTGTGGGGCGCTTGTGTCACTGCAGGTTGGCAGGTTCAAGGAGCACATGTATTTCATCAGTTCCTGAGCTTCTCTGGAGATGCTAGGTCCTAAAGTCAATTGTGGACCCCGAACAGGGTGGGTGTGTAAGAAAAAATGAATGTCCATTCCACATGTAGAAACAGTGGCTCGGGGCTGCGGTGGTCCTGCTGGCTCCTCCTGCATGCTTCTGACCTGCTTTGCTCCTGAGCCTCGGGCCTCCTGCAGCATGGGGTTCTCTTGACTCGGGTGTCCGTCTGTTCTAGGTGGTGAGTGGCTGCCACAGCGGTGTGGTAAGCGTGTGGGACATCCTCACGGGCGAGAAGGTCATGCAGTTCGCGGCCTGTCCGGGGAGAGGGGTGGAGGTCACGGCCATGGCCTTTGACGGACCCAAGAGACGTCTCATCACCGGCTCCAAGGACGGCTCCCTCAGGCTGTGGAACTTCAACAACGGGGCTTGCCTCTTCGAGCTGCCCAAGCTGCATGACTCTGAAGTGCGTACCGCAGCGACGGTGGACACCTTGAGCGCAAGCATTAACACTGTTCTTCCTGAACAGCATTTTTCTCATTTTCCCGAGATTTTACCAAACTTCATCATGCATCTTCTTTGCCACAGTTTCCTGTGTTTAGTGCAAAGCAGTCGTTCTTACCATACAACATTATACTCTGTAAGGCTTTTACATGCTTTGATTGCACCTTACTACACTTTTCACTGCTTTTACTGTGGTACACCACAGTAGACGTTCAAGATGGTTGCCATCAGTGTTATGCATTAAAAATAATACACAATACAAGGTTTGGGACAAGATTGTAGCGCTATGACACTTTGCTCCTGAATGGCTAAGGTTACAGATACCAGCAAGGACATGTTTTGCTTTTCTACTGCATATAATTTCATATACAGTATTATGAATAGCATTTACATATTTCTATACATTGCAATACTTGTGTTTGCTTAGGGGTTTTTGTCATTGACTTTCAGGTGACTGGGATTCTGTATATCAACCAGAGGATTTATGTTTCCAGTTGGAGTAAAAGAGTGGTCTGGTACCTGTGAGTAAAAAAAAAAACACCTTCTGATTAATGTCACCAACCGATATAACACTTGTCAACAGTTGTCATCATGGAAGACATAACGTACATCCTCTGGGAAGTTGCTCCCCTTTCCCAAGGCCCAGAAACAGAGGGATATTGATTTACTCTACCCAATATTTCTTCTGAAAGAAAAAAGGCACTGAGCACAAGTTCAGACCTGTCCCTCTCTGTCACAATGTTTCATTTAAGCTGAATACTACCGAGGATTTTAGAGTTTGTCAGGGGTTGTAATGCTGTAGCTTGTAAGTCTTACAAATACACATCTGCTGAAGAGAGCAAAAAACACAAAAAGATATACAGGTATACATTTTAAATAACAGACATACTATATGTAAAATGATCAAATCCGTAAGCCATATCCTTGACTTCAGTATTAAGATTCCAGTTATTTGATCATTTGAATCGAAGTTTTAGCTCATCTTTTTGGTGATGGACAGGGATTCGAAAGAGGATGATGAAATGGAGTATCGGCAGTGGAACTGCTATCACTCAGAGGATATCTTCTCCATGGACGCCCACAGCCACAAACTGCTGGTCACCGCTTCCTACAACGGGGACATCATTGTGTGGAACATCGACTCGGGTCAGGCCTTCTGCCGGTTCAACGCCAGCGAGAGCCCCCTGCCCCTCCTGCCCATCAGGGTGAGCGCCAGCCCCCAGAAACAGCCCTCTGCTCTCTAAAGGCTGTAAGGTGATGCCTTCAATTAGATGATGTTACGCTAGCATGGCATAAAGGTAGAGACCATCCCAGAACCACTCTGCCCAGAGCTCATGCTGGTTTCTGCAGTGTTCAGTAGACAAGAGAGTACATGGAGCACACAGGGTAATTACCAAGGTGAAAGCAGGGTAAGATGTAGTAAAGTACTGTGATGTCAGAGCGTGATGAGCTATGCTAAAGCACAGCACAGTAAGCTCAATGCCTGATGTAAGCATGCTTTACTGCTGTTGAGAGGAGACATGCTTTATTGTTTGGAATATCGCAATTGGCAATGACTGGCAAATATTTAAGATTCCAGACATATAGAAAAAATTGAAAGCACATCCTCATACATCTTAGAGGTTTATTCCTTCTCAGTCATTTTGCTTGGGTAGTACTTCACCTGATTACCTGCTTGTGCTGCCTAAGATATCTTAGATATCTAAGATATATGGTATTTTCCTAGAGTTTCTCTGGTAAAACAAGTCATTCGCTACAGACCCCAAATCATACCAGGTTCAGACTTGAGGTTCTGCGTCCTGACCTTTAAGCGTGGCGAAAGTATTTTCTGATGATGTTTCTTGAGGAGAAGGACAACGACAACGCAGAATGGTCTGTGGTCAGCCCTGCTCCTCCACAAGGTGAGAGCTCAGGCCACAGACCTGACGCCCTGTGTACTTGACTTCCGGGGGCAGGTGATTGA